CTGCTGGAGCCGCGCTGCATCCTGCCGGAGCGAGGAGCCATCAAATCCTTCGGCAGTCGGCGCGACGGATACGAGGTCTGCTCCAGCCGTTCCCTGCAGATCGTCATCTTCCTGCTGATCATCGTAATGGCAGCCTGGTGAGTAGGGTCTTGGGAGTACATATATCCTGAAGGGTTGTTATAGTAATCAACTGGTTCGGCTTTGGTATTATTAAGAGTAATGATTTAATAATACGTTAAATATATATTATGGTTATACAGAATCTGTCACTAAAAAATCTATTCAATCTCTTTTTTGGAATGATATAATTTGAAAAGTTTTTCCTTAAATTCTCGGTATATATGATTTATATTTTGGAGAGTTTATAAAGTTGTTGGGTAATAGTAGCTAACGATAAGATACCCATGTCTTAACTCTTCCATCCTCTTACAAAAGTTATAGATAAAGTTATATTAGTTCCCATAATCAAAAAATTATTGTATCCGATTTAACATACCTCTTTTCTTCCATTAAAGTCTGGCGGCGGTGTCCACGTTGTACTTCGTGGAGCACAACAAGCAGCAGCAAATGGACGGCTACCAGCTCTTTAGCAACGGGCTCTTCCGTCCGGAACCGGGGTCAACGCACCTGACCGACGAGGATAGACACTACTTCCACAACCTGCACACGCTCTTTAAGAACAAGACGATCAGAGCAATGCCAAGTAAGATGTCCTCCATTAGCACATCCCGTCCGCCCGGATCCCGACCAGGTGGGGAGGAGCCGGAGGACCTGGCCGCCGTGTTGTCCAAGCCACAGGTGTCCGCTAGCCAGCAGCAGCAGCCGAGTCTGAAGCACGGTATCATCACAACGACGGCGCCACGTTTTAGCAACAAGACCATCAACAGCAAGAAGAACAAGTGGCCGCCCACCCAGGAGGTACTGCGTCAGGCAGCGGGTCAAAAGTTGCACTTGGCCGTTGCGCCAGTCCATGTGGTTCCTAATACCCCCGCGAAGTCGCCTCCACCCGCTGCACTCAACGACACGGTGGCCTCCACGGAGAAGCCACCCCAGGCCATTCCCTTGCCCCAGGACTTCGAGAATAACTCCATCGACATCGATGCCCAGCAGAAGCAGTCGCAGCTGAAGCTGGACGAGCACATCGTGGTGGTGGGCACCATCGCCAGTCCCGCCTCCGATGGCTATGACTCCAATTCCCCAGCCGCTGCTGCCCATCCCATTCGAAAATTCAACCCTGGAACCGTTTATACCCACGTCTACAAGACCGTATCGCCACCCACGGCCAATCAGGCACTGACCACCAACAAGGTGAGCACTGAGTCTGCCCCGAGTCCGCTTGCCCAGGCTTTGGACGTACCTCCACCGGCTCTTCCGCTGAGAAACAGCAGCGATAACCCGGATGCCTTGGACCTGCAGAACCTTAGCAACACCAACGAGTCCGTGGACAACCCCATCACTGGAGTATACGGAGTGTACGAGTACCAGGGACCGGGCTTAAGGGAGTCCAATCTGGGCCGGCGGTCGGCTAGTCAGCGAAGTCTGGACTGGATCAGGCAGAAGACCTTCAAGGCGGAGCTCGTCGGACAGCCGGCGGAGTGCAATGGAGACGAGTCGGTCAGCGATAATTGCCAGGTAAGGATTTGCTAAGTGATCCTTATGCAAACTACCAAGTCATGCTTTGACACCCACAGTCCGTTTGCTTCGAGGCTCTGCCACCGACTCAGCCCCAGCCGGATAATGTGGATGCCAATGTGAAGGAGCAGCACGTGGAGGACGACCTGCAGTCGGCGGAGGAGCAGGATCAGGATCCGGACATCATAGAGACTCTGCCCCAGCCCGCTGCCTCAGTTGGCAATGAGACCTTGGCTGGCCTCGAGGCTCAGCTGAGCAAGAGCTCGCACAGCAATGACGCCCTGGCCAAGAAGTTCCCCCAGGAGACGGAGACGTTGATCACAGCCAAGGACGATCCCGTCTACCGCCTGGTGCAGGCTGCCTCTGGCCAAGATCAGGGACCAAAGACGGATGAGACTGTAATACCACCCTTCCAGCTAGATTGCTGGAGTGTGTCCAGTTGCGTGCTGGCCGCCCAGTACAATCACACCATCGAGGTGGAGCAGTTCTGTCCCACCTCGGGCAGTTCCCTCAATGTCAGCTATGTAGTCCCGGTGTCGCGTTATCTGCAGGCCAGTAGCCTGGAGCTCCATTTGAGGTTCGTTGGTTATTACATCAAGGGTATAAAAACAGCTCCATAATACTCTAAAACTATCCTAGAAAAAGTGTACTATCATAGAACTCTGCAAGAATACTATAGTTACAATGTATAAGTCCTTTGAATCCTATGTTGTCGGTGACTTCTAGACTATGATTCAATATGATCCGGATCATTAAAACATTGAATGATCATATCAAACATAATTTAGATAGATAGAATAATCATAATCCCATCGACAGCTCCAACAAGCCGCTGCAATGGTCCATCTGCACCGATGAGGATCAGGCCAAGCCCAGTGCCAACGCCCAGCTGGACGAGGATGATGAGGCCACGTCCGCCAGCGGGGTGAAGATCCTTAAGCGGGACAAGAACAAACTGAGTCTTTCCCTAGATCTTCCCGCCCGCGGCTACTTCCTGCGGGACTTTATGCTGCGCGCCAGCCACGACTTGGAGCAGGTGGGTTTTCCGTACTTATTGAAACGCCTCAAGCGATTCCTCAACTCTTTTAGTTGCAGCAAAAACTATGCGACGACAACGCTCACCTGGCGAATCCCATACTCCAGTACAACTTTAGAATCGTAAGAGATTGTGATTAGTTTACAGCTTAATTTATGGCACGGATCAAATCTGAACTCCAAAAATATGCGCATTGCTGTGTGTATACTGCATGTTTGAATGTTGCGGATACGTCCTGGCACCCGGAAAACACGTTTAAATTAGGAAAATGCGAAAATGATATAAACAAAAAACTGTTGATCAGCGAGCGGAAGTTAAAATGAATACATTTATACGTAAAAAAAAAAACAAATCATTAATAAATGCAAAACAATTATCGACCATTTAAATAAAATATGTAGAGAAATCTTTTAAAATTATCTTTCAATGTCTGGTTTATGGTAAAAATTGAAGCTACTAATATGATGGTAAGTTCAATATTAACAATTTATAAATCCTTTTTGTTTTGAGTTGAAAAATAAGTAGGTAATCAAAAAGAAATTATAATTGAAAACTTAAACTTAAATATAAAGCAAGTTAAAGCAAACGATTGAATTCTTATAAGATGGAAGAATGACATTCTGAGAAGTTTATGGCCTTTTAAATTAGTGGATAACTATTAAAAGGAGACGATCAAAAAGCGAATTTTTGAAAACAATTGTATTCGAATGTTTTTTGATCAGATTAATACAGTTTTTTCTATGGGAATTCGTAAAATTAAAGAAAGGCAAATCAAGCCTCAGAGTTCCGTTTGCATGAACGGTCCATACAAAATGGTTTGAGTATCCTTTTATATCTTCCAAAATGTTGGGATTATGAGTATGAAACCTTATGAGCATATTATTAGATAGTTCAGAAATAAATTAAAGCAACTTCTAAGACAAATTAATGCACTTTACTATCAAACATATGGGAAACTTAACAGATAAACGACCTGAGGTCTTCTATACGGCGAACGGCTGGTCCTTGCCATCCTCGTGGTACTTGATGTAGGTCTCCCCGTGCGTGAAGTCCTTGGTTCCCTCCAGGCGACCTCGTGGCGGAGCCTTTTCATAGTCGAAGGCTTTCTCGGCCTTGCCGAACAGCTGGTTGGCCATCTCGATGTCCTCACGGTACTTGCCCACGACCACCTTCTTTCCAGTAAGCGGATCGGTTATGTCACCCAACGGATAGACGACCTTTTCCACGTTGTGCGTGATGAGGCGGGTGAGTCGCTCGGGGAGCTCCCTGATCAGGACCACATCCCCGGTTTTGCACACCTTCTGCGGATCGTGGGCAAAGTAGAACTCGTCCTTCTTGAAGTACTGGAAAAAAAAGAAGAGGTGAATTTTCTGATGTGAGCTCTTGTATGTTTCGATTACCATATTCAGGTTCTTGTCCAGTTCCATGCGGCGAATGCGGATCTTGGAGGCATTCTGCTTGATGCAGGGCATGCACTGGCCCATTAGTAGTAGTCCCCGCCTCGACATGATCCTGCAGGACTTTAATTTAAAAATCTATAAAAATAAACAACCGGTTGTAAGCCAGCAGTCGTGACAACAGCTGATACCTATCGATAAGAACAGCAGTTTTTGGATTCAAGGGCTGCAACAAGTTGCTAAAATATTTATTTTAAATTGCTTGTGTATCGAAAATCCAAGTACGGGTTCCTCATCTCTATTTTTATTTATTTAACACGAACTTACAATTATATTGTTACAGTTGTTCTCCAAAAATTAACTCTTTTCAATGAAGTTTGCATGGACTAGCTGATAAAGCTGCCCGAAATTCAACAGTTCAGCAATTTAATAGATTAGGGAATACCCTAGTTTTTACAAGTATAACACAAAAACGGGTATATTTATGAAATTTTAATATATATTAGTTTAGCTTAGTTTACATCCGCAGTGCCCAAAATATTTTCGTAGGTTCCATTTCTGAAATCCTATAATTATTTAATTATTTTAACCTGCCAAAAACTGGCACATTTTGATATAAAATTAGCATTAATATGGTTTTACTTTTAATTTAAGGGATCAGGAGTTTATTAAAAATCTGATGAGTTTTTGTATTTAATCGTGATAATTTTGAACAAAAGTAGTAAGAAAATAAAAAAAAAATTAAAGAAAAATTATTTTTTCGATATATAAAAATTAAAACTTTTTTATAACAGCAGTAGATATTGATCTAATTTAAAACAACAATAAATAGAAGATTTTAATATAGTAATATTCCAAAAGCCGCCACAAAAAATATCATTCACATATCGATAACTGCCTTTGTGCAACCCATGGCTCAACCATCGCGGGCCATCACCAAACTTATCGGTGGACCGCGCGCTCCACGTGTTTTCCCGTCCATTTTCTCGCAGCGCGCAACACGTGCGGAGGTTCCTCTCCGTCTACCAGTAGTTTTCCCAGACAAACGCAGTTAAAATGGCCGACGTGGGTAAGTCGGAAAAGTGATGAATTAAAAGGGACTCCTAGTTTACGGATTGTCTGCCCGCAGAAGCACGCAAGAAGAAGAAGAAGATCAAGGAGGAGCCCTTGGACGGCGATGATATTGGCACGCTGCAGAAGCAGGGCAACTTCCAGATCAAGCCCTCCTCCAAGATCGCCGAGCTGGACACCTCGCAATGGCCACTGCTCCTGAAGAACTTCGACAAGCTGAACATCCGCTCCAACCACTACACTCCCTTGGCCCACGGATCATCTCCTCTGAACCGCGACATCAAGGAGTACATGAAGACGGGCTTCATCAACTTAGACAAGCCGTCGAATCCCAGCTCCCACGAGGTGGTCGCCTGGATCAAAAAGATCCTCAAGGTGGAGAAGACCGGCCACTCTGGCACTTTGGATCCCAAAGTCACGGGTAAGTGGTACCGCGTGTTTTCCCCCGACCGCCCAACCTAACCTCAATGTGTGCCCTCGTGCTTTTCGTTTTTTTTTCGAACAGGCTGCCTGATTGTCTGCATCGACAGGGCCACCCGACTAGTCAAGTCCCAGCAGAGCGCTGGCAAAGAGTACGTGGCAATCTTCAAGCTCCACGGAGCCGTGGAGTCGGTGGCCAAGGTGCGTCAGGGTCTGGAGAAGCTGCGTGGCGCCCTCTTCCAGCGACCACCTCTCATCTCGGCCGTAAAGCGCCAACTGCGAGTGCGTACTGTCTACGACAGCAAGCTGTTAGACTACGATGAGAGCCGGAATATGGGTAAGTCAGGCTTTTTTTTTATCCACTCTCATCCAGAGCTGGTGCGTCGCTGCTGGATTAGTTTTTCCTGCAGGGATGCAGCCCGCCGAAGCCAGTGAAACACCAGTATTTGCCAGCCCACGCAAATGCACATTGTACATGTTAAAACCTCGTCTTTTTCTCTCCTCCAATTCCGCCTACTCACGTGCTCAGGTGTTTTTTGGGTTAGTTGTGAAGCCGGTTCCTACATCCGTACCATGTGCGTCCATCTGGGTCTCGTTCTGGGCGTCGGTGGCCAGATGCTGGAGCTGCGTCGAGTCCGCTCGGGCATTCAGTCTGAGCGCGACGGCATGGTGACCATGCACGACGTTTTGGACGCCATGTGGCTGTACGAGAACCACAAGGACGAGTCAATGCTGCGACGTGTGATCAAGCCGCTGGAGGGTCTGCTGGTCAACCACAAGCGCATCATCATGAAGGACAGTTCGGTGAGTTTGGGCTCCAATGTCTTATACCCCATGATATTAAGCCGGCAGGTGCTTGCAATCCCCACGAGCACCTGTGACTATGATTGGGAACAGTAAAGCTGCTGATGTGTGTATGTTGGGCAGCGCTCTTATCCTGCGTTCTCGACGAAGAATATTCGGTCGACATCTCATTTTCCCAAATTTTGTTTATGATCTCAACTAAATGTCTCGTTATTCCACAGATAAATGCCGTTTGCTATGGTGCCAAGATTATGTTGCCCGGTGTCCTGCGCTACGAAGATGGCATTGAGATCGATCAGGAGATCGTCATTTGCACCACCAAGGGTGAGGCGATCTGCCTGGCTATCGCCCTCATGACCACAGCCACCATGTCGTCCTGCGACCATGGTGTGGTTGCCAAGATCAAGCGGGTGATCATGGAGCGCGACACATATCCGCGCAAGTGGGGATTGGGCCCCAAGGCGTCAGCCAAGAAGGCCCTCATCGCCGCCGGCAAACTGGACAAGTTTGGCCGGCCTAATGAGAACACACCTAAGGAGTGGCTGACTGGTTTTGTGGACTACAGTGCCAAGAAGCCAGCAGGGGCTGCTCCTCAAGAGGTTTCTCCCTCCAATGGCTCCAGTGAACCCAGCAAGGTAACTTTTCTAAATCGATTTCTTTCGGATAATCGTTTATTAAATAATACTATTTATCCAGCGCAAGTTGAGCACCTCCAGTATTGAGGAACCGGCGGCGCCAACAGCCTCCGAGGAGACTCCTTCCAAGGACAAAAAGAAGAAGAAAAAGAAGCACAAGGGCGATGAGGAGGCCCCAGCTGCAGAGGAGGAGCCAGAGCCAGTAGAGAAGGAGAAGAAAAAGAAGAAGAAGAAGGATAAGGATAGGGACAGAGATGAAGCTCAGGAATAGAAATCGAATGTTTCTATAGGATTAGGTTTTATAGAGAACTCTACGCTTTTATGTAGAGACACCTACCAATTTGCTAGCTGTTAAGTTTAAGGAGTGTTTTTATGTGTAGAAGTGCATACTAATTACAAATGCATTTAAGTGACATTCGCAATGCAATAAATTGTACATTTTATTGTGAAAGTCTTGGTAGTTTTTCAAGTTCTTAGTTCTCTTTAGCTTTTCAAGTTCTTAGTTCTCTTTAGCTTTACAGTTAGAAAGGCAGGTCTACGCAAATGGAAGGTGAGTTTTAAACTACATTTTAAAATGTCTTCAAGTGCTAATTTCGTTTGCGTTATCTGATGAGCAATAACTTTCGCCCCTAGCTGAAAAATGAAACTTCTCATGTTGAATGCGAGATTGGTCTTACTGAAAATATAACGCAACCGAGAAAATTGAGCTACTTAAGACTTTTGTTGACATTATCGACAAGGATATTAATTTTGATTGTTTTTTATAGCTTGGAAAACTGCTAAAAGGACGACGACCATAAAAGACTACATGCAAGGTGAGTTTCCATTTGTGTACATTTTTTCGGTAATTTGTTTTCTGATGAGCATTAACTTTCGCCCCTATCTGAAATTGAAACTTCTCATGTTGAATGCGAGATTGGTCTTACTGAAAATAAATTAAATTATAAGCTCAAGAGGTTTTTTGTATTTTACTAATTAAAACTTTTATAAATATTTGCAGTTTGACTGAATGACAACAATGAAGTTATTCCTGTGGGCCGCATGTGAATTAAGGTAAGCTAACATTATAATCTCTTATTCCATTTTTTTTCCTATGATGAGCATTAACTTTCGCCCCTATCTGAAATTGAAACTTCTCATGTTGAATGCGAGATTGGTCTTACTGAAATGTATTTTAACTTTAAAAATAAAGATTGTTGTATATATGTTTCTCATAATTTTCTTATTCTATTTTACAGATTTCTGGAAAAAGTAATTCAAATAACAAGGATGGGTATTTAAAAAATAAAGGTAAATATTAATTTAAAAAATAGAATAAGTTCTAATAGTGATGAGCATTAACTTTCGCCCCTATCTGAAATTGAAACTTCTCATGTTGAATGCGAGATTGGTCTTACTGAAATGTATTTCAACTAAATACAAGCCAAAACCTGCTGTGGCCTTTCTAATGGAATTGTTCTATCTTTTTCAGATTACCACATCATTTCTTCGTTAAGGAATCCGATTCCTATTGAAAAGGTAAATATTAATGTAAACATTGTTCTTGAAACTTTTGTTCCGAATTAAAAATTTAAGTTCTATTAAATTTTACTCAATATATTTTGCTTTAAAACTATTTTTTAAATCGAATAATCTTGATAAAATGATGAAAAGGAAAAGCTGAATTATGTGGCATGATTTTCACATTAACCGCAACAAAACCCTACTCCAATAGGTCCTACTGACAATTTCCACAAGAAATAATCCTCTTTGTCTAAAAATAATCCAACAAATGACTAACAATTGACCTTCTTTTGCATTTTTAGTTCACGAAGCATGTTATGAATATATGTTCCAAGGTAAATATAAAAGCTCTTTTCAAAAGTTTCTATTGAAAATGATGTAAAAAGAAAACTGAGTTATGTGGCATGATTTTCACATTAACCGCAACAAATCCTACTCCAATAGGTCCTACTGAACATTTTCACAAGAAACAAAATGTAATTTTCCTTCGTGAACCAATTCTAATTCAAGCTTTTCTTCTATTTTACAGTGGCTGACGTCAACCCTATTTATCATATTATGGCTTACTTCGTTGTGAATTGGTTCTATTAAAAACATGTTTTTTTAAGGTACAGTACTGTCCAAAGCACTCCATTCTATTTATAATTTATCGAAGAGAAAATAAAAGTAAACAAAGAACACGTGACATTTATTTAATGGGATTAGGGCATGCTTTCTTATAACCTAAAATACAGCTGAAGTCTTGGACCAGCCTGTTTGGGCGGGCAATATTTTCCAGGGGTGCAAAAAGAGCGCGAAAGAAGCCGGCGTGCATTGGCATAGAAACTTAAAGTGCCATCACGTGTGTGTGCAAAAACGAGGTCCATTGTTGATCCTCAATACAGTACGCGTTATCTTTGCTTGTATTTGCGCTGTATAAATGTAGAGAACACGTTTTTCATGACCTCAAAATATCAGCGTGTGGTTTTTCTCTACCTAAACAGCCCTGCGTTCCATTCCACAATCCCTTGGCGCGCTGCCTATCGAACGCCATGTTGGATTAATCGCAGTGTGTTTGTCTGTCACTATTTGTGTATGTATTCGGCTATGCTTTTTTCGACGCGTCGTCAACCAGAGCTGTGGGTTAATTGTTAAAATTATTTTGGATATTTGCGACGCGCTTACGTACTTGCAAGTGCCGACAAGCTAACGGGCTGTTATAACTCGCTTTAAATACAGGTAAGTACCTATGAGTGGGGTTAATATGCGGTGCAAAAGGACATTGCCGGCATGGGAATTTCGGTACGGAGCGTAAAGGGTGCTTTCAAGTGACGCATGCGATCGGTTGTGTATGTATCCATCGCGACGCCATGTTGGATTTGAAATTTTAGGTTATTGATTAGTTTTCCGCAAGAGCATGACTTTGAACTAATCTTTTCGCAAGTGAAAATTAATAAAAGGCAATTGCGTTGAGAAAAAAAAACATACCAAATGCAGTATATTTTGGAGGAAATTATATTAGGGGTGTGTAGGTTATTGAAATGAAGGTAGAGCGGGTATTTAGCAGTGCTTAAAAATTTAGGATTCTGGTTTTATATCTTCGGACTGTTCGATTCATTTTGTTATTTAAAGTTCCTGTTTTGCCTAAAAAATTCTAAGCTTGCATAAAATTAGTGTTAGCCAAACAAAGACTTTTCTTTAAGAAAATAATTTACTTTGTATTGTCTTCTTCTTCAGAATATTTTGTATCTACATCATAAATATCATGTAATTAACACATGTCTCAAAGGCTTCTGCGATCGTTTTTGGTTCAGGTAGAGCACTTCTAGTGTTGTAAAATCAGGACATTTTCTCCGACCCGAAGTTCTCGACCCTTCTCTTCGTCCTGTAGTTTTACATAACATATTTATCGGTTATCGAAGGGCGCACGTGCGTTCCACTCCCCGCACCACCCCCTCTCCCACCTGAGCATGCGGAAGCAACAACAACTGCCGCTAGTCCATGCCATGCGTTCCCCGGAAATGCCTGGTAGTGGGCAGCGGCCAGGGCTCACACTCACGCACACACACTCTTGCAAGCACGCATGTGGCGGTGACGCTGAGTCGGAATCTGGATTATTTTGTGATCTGATCGCAGTGCAGTCTGAGTTTCCATTCGGCTGCCGAATAAAAGTGCAATTTGTGACTGAAACAATTGCCAAGCTCGCCGACGATGAGTTTTGGCCACCGCTCGTAGTCAGCAGTTGTGCGGAAAGGAAAAATAAAAGGCTCGAAATGTTTTGATTGCGCTCTTCGCATCGCGTGTTTTTGCTGTTTGTGCGGGGGTGCGGCAGTAGGCGCTGAACCAGCAACAACAATCGTGAACGTACCGCTTCTGTGATACTGAGTCTGTTTGCAAAAAGTGCGTAAGCAACTTTACAAAACATTTAATAAAATAAATATGAACATCCTGTAAAATTGGGTTGCGGCTTAACCTTTGTGTGTATCTGCTGTTTTTTTGCAGCAGCAGGGCTCACAGTTTGTAGACATTTAATAAACAAGTATTAAATAAGCAAAGTCCACAGTCCTTTTCACAAAGATTTTCCATAGAAATTAGTACTGTTAAGTGATCGAATCAGTAAATTGATCGGCCAGTGTTGACAATGCCGCAATAATTTTCAAAACTGTCAGCACTGAAAGGCATCTTGATTTTGAGGTTAAAGTTTTTCCAATGCGTAATAATGATTTTTCCTCGTGTTCCGACAGCATGACTTACGAACTGCCTCCGATCATACTACAAGGCAAAGAACTGATCAAATACCGCCACCTGAAGCGCAAATATCCCGTGTCCAAGGACTTCCTGCAGCGCAACTGGTGGAATGTCAAGAGGTTTATAATCAACGCCCTCACTCCGCGCTGCATCATCCGGAATTATGCCTGGCGCCGGCGACGCGGCCACCGCGTCCTTATCGTGCGACGCGTCCGCATCCTGCTCTTCGATCCGCGGCTCAAACGGATGATCAAGCGCCGCCTGCAGAACGTGCGCCAGTGGTCCAAGACCCTAGTGGGTCACTACAAAAAGATGGGCCGGATCGAGGAGTACGAGGAGACGGAGGTGTACAGCGTGGCCGAGCCCTTGGGAGCCGAGGAACTGTCCAAGCAGATGAAGCAGCAACTGGAGCTGCTCAAAACGGGCAAGAGAAGCCTGTCCCTCATAGAAGACGCCAGTCCCAGTGCGGAGGTCCCACTCAAGAAGCTTAAAAAGCAGCCTGAGATTGCGGAGGAGACGCCCAATGAAGAGGTCGATGATCACCTCGATGATTCAAACCTCGCACCCTCCAAGGAGGCAGCCGAACGGACGCCCACGAAGTCGCCAGCACAAGTTACCGCCTCAGAGGATGCACCCACCCCGCCCACTCCCAGCAAGGAGCAGAGCGGTCAGACCAGCACCTGCTCCAGTGCGGAGAAGACGGACAAGGCGGAAAAGGCCGGCGGCAGCAAGTTTCTGGACATGCTCATGAGCAAGGTGCGCGTGAAGAACTTTGCCCGCGAGGACAATATCCCTTCGGAACCTACTGTGGCTCCGTTCTGCGTATCCGAGGACGAAGGCAGCGAGGACTTTGTGGGCTTCGACGAAAGTGTCCACCAGCCGGGCATGCTGCTCACTCCGCTGGTGCCCAGCAATTGTAAGACCACGGAGGGAAACTCCGCCTTTGTCAGCGAATCCCTGGATGCATACATGCGGGAGCATCACATTAAAGACTCGGATTCGCAGGAAGAGAAGGACAAGTTGCTTGAGCCAATGGGGCACGATGGTCAAGTTACCTCGCACAGTATGGCCCCGCCGATGGACATGCCTGCCGTCCCGGAGGCACTGCAGCGCTTGCGAACAGTGGCGGAAAGGCGTCAGTATCTGCAGCGTTGCAAGAACCACAAGATGGCCATCATTAATAATGAGGCTAATGTGTACAGGGAGTTGCAGCGTAAGCAGCGCCAGAGAAAGGTCAAGATCGGCGCCATGCAGGCCCTCCAGGCACCCGAATCCCAAATGCCCTTCACACGCCAGGGCTGGCAAGCAGCCAGTTATGTGGCCACCGAGAACTCCAACTACTACTATCAGGTGGGGCTTCGATAAAGCATTTTAGGTAGTATTTTATTAATAGTCTCCTATTCATTCAGGTAATCCAGGTGGATGGAGAGATGGTCCGTCTGCCAGGCGCCCGGGGAAATAATTTAAAGCGCGAGAAAAGTCCGTACTTGAGCAGGCTAACTCGCAAAGAAGAAAATGAACTAAAATGCAGTGACGATTGCTTAGATTCCCGTATCTGCCGGGAGTTAAAGGTGATTCCCACAAGAGTTAGCCCTCCAAGAAACCCCAAAGTCCTCAACCAGTTTCCGCTGCCCGCCATTTTCCGCCCTTGCCCGCTGTCCAAGAAACCGCTGCAAAGGCCGCTGGACGATGATACAGCTGCGTTGCTCCTCGCAGGTGGCAGCATGGCTGTTGTTAGCATGCCAAATGTGCAGCTAGACGTAATGCCAGAGCTGGGCCGACCACTGGACGAGATTGCGAAGCGGTATCTGCAGCACATCCTGCCCCATCACGACATAACACGCGAGTGGGCCGAGTTCAGTGTGTCCACGCTGCAGGCGCCTCCCGCCTGCATGAAGGATGCAGAGGAGCAGGCTGCCCAAACACCAGCCGGTCGCCGCAAGAGTTTCACCTTCGTTATTCCCTACCTCAACGATCGGAATCACATTCTCGTGCGACGCGTAGTGGACCGATCCGAGCTCCTGGACGAAAGCTTTAATGAGGAGCCCGATAAGCTGCAAGAGTTCGCCTTCCGGGAAAAGCTTCCTGCACAACCGGATGCCGAGTCTCTCGCCTGCGCAGACATGATCAACGACATGATCAACACTGTGGCCATCAGCTGCAGCGAGAACAGTTTCATAAGCGAGGATCCGGATGCGGTGGGTACTTCTTCATTGGCCAAGTCCTCCGATTTGAGTCCTGCTAAGGAGGAGTCTGGGAGGGACGCGGACAAGTCGGGCGGCAAGGCAAAGCGACTGCCCAACAAGCAGAAGCGCCTGGCCAATGAACTGAGGCGGCTCAATGCCACCATCATTGACGCTGCTGCCAGAAATGCAGACGGTGAGTTGGCCTACCTACCTGTTAAGTGGTATTAGATCATAATTATTTTCCTTTCTAGCTAACAAGCCCTGCATTAAGGATTACTGCCAGTTGGGCTGCCTGTGCGCCAGCCTCGCAGGTACAGAGTTGCCAGTACGGGATCACTGCGGACGTGCGGAGTGTGTCTTAGACTGCCGTTGCCTGGGAGCGGAGCAGGGTCGTGTCATGCGCGTGGAGGCTGCAGATGTAATATTCACGTTGTTTTAATGCATTTGTGAAAGTCTTTACAATGTACTCTTATTTAAACCAGGGTCGCGGAATTTCCAACGAGGATGCGTTCAACTTGCGTCGTAAGGCCACTGCTAGGCTGGCCAAAATGGAAAAGGACTTCACCTCCACCTTGGTGCTCACCGACAACGAGACACTGCTGATCAACGAGTCGCAGGGCGACAAGAAGCGACGCTGCACAAAGGCCCCCAAGCGTTATGAGGATTTCGATGACTCCATGTTCGACGAGGAAGAAAAGGAAGTGGTTTCACCAACCTCAAAGAAGCAAAAAAAGATTGCCGCTGCTGCTGCGGCTGCCGCTGCGGCTGCAGCTGCTGCTGCCGCTGCCAGCGCCAAGACAGCTGCTCCGGCTCTAAGCGAACCGTGCTCAGTGAGGGACACGGATATGGCCAAGCTGAAGCATTGCTTTGTGGGTCTACGCCGCTTGTCAGACATTGAGAACTTGGCCACGTTCTGCATGACGCACCAGCTGTATAAGTGCTTCTGTGGCGGTGAGTCCCCGGATGGCAAGCCTGTGGTTATTGAAAAGGAGCAGTGGAACGCCCCGGTGACCCACTTTAATCCAGAACTGGCCACCAGGGCGCACTACAGTTTTGAGCGAACGCCGGAGGAGATTCCCACAAAGAAGAAAGGAAAGGAAAAGAAAGCTAAACTCAAGCTTGAGCAGAAAGCGAGCGAAGAGGAGCAAAAGCCAAAGACTAAAGAGGAGGAGACTACATTACTCAAGACTGAATCCACAGAAGAACCCAAGGCAGCTGTTCCCTCATTCAATGATGAGTCCCCTCTCCAAAGGTCCATTGAGTTGGATACGATCTTCAGCTACTTCCGCTCGCGCCCACAAATCTGCCGGCGAGCCATTTCCGTTCCAAAGAACTCATACCAGCGCCTAAACCAACGAAGGGCAGAACGGGTGCGTAACTATACGGCGCGGCAAGAGACTGCTGAAACAATGGAGCTGCTCAAGAGTCGCATTCAGGGTGCCATTACGT